TTCCAAACCAATTGCCCACCGATGAGACCACTGCCGGCCAACCCGTTGTCTGAAGAGCACCTGTGCCCACACAAATTGACTATTAATTCAAGAAAGCAATCCAATTGTAAGAGTGTTTACCGCATATAATTTGAATAAATATAAAATAGTAGAAGGAATGGATGTCGTAGTAGAAGGCAATGCCAAAGGCATACGTGAAGAGTCCACTCAATAACATTCCCAGTGATAGGAAATATCGTAAATGACATCTTTCGGCCACAAATCCCGAGAAAAACATAAATATGGCGTAAGAGAAGAGGAAACTCGAGTCCAGAAGACCTGCTCATCATAATTGGCAATAAAAGTTGTGTTAAATTCTCTTATTTATTATACAGTATGTTATTTGTTTTTGCATTTTGTTTAAAATTCTGTTAATTCTTTCAAATAGTGTTGTGAATATTGTAAGAGATATTCAAAAAGTCATTAGTAATATAGTTTGAGCACTAAATTAATTATATAACAAATATTTTGCAATTCATTACAGCACTGCAAATGATAATCAAATCGGGCAATAGATAGTTATGAAATTGTAATGCAGTGCAAGTGTCAAAACCCTTAATAGTTTTAAGTTTTGTGTACCATTGGAAGCATAATATGATAGTACAGTAAATCGTGATCTGGGTGAACCATGAGTTGTGTGAACTAAGCATTTGTATGAACCAAATCTCAAAACATAAACAAGTCTCTCATAGACATAATGTTAAAATAACATGAGTTGTGTGAACATAAACTGTGTGAACCAATGATTACATAAACAAGTCTCTCATAGACATAATGTTAAAATAACATGATTTGTGTGAACATAAACTGTGTGAACTAATGATCTGTGTGAACAAATTGTAGCTAAATTTATGTGGTATTCAATGCATTTCACAATGAGTTGTGTGAACCACACAAAATAGCAAACATATAGTCAAATATAGATGACAACACTAAACAATTTCGTACCCAAAACGGCTAATAAGTTGTTTATATTCAATAAACCATTAAAATAACAGAAAATTACGACAATTTTTCTTAAAGCACTTAAAATTAGTAAATTAAACCAACATTTATGTATTAACCATACTTTTAGTTCATAATGATTTGTGTGAACTAATGATTTGTGTGAACTAATGATTTGTGTGAACTAAATGGCCAAATTTACCAAGTTCACCCAGTTCATGATTTACTGTAATTCTCAGATTAGGTATTTTAACCCAATTAACAAATTTTAAAATTCATTAATAATTGCCTTTAAGTCTACAATTTTGTCAATTCTTTGCTGTAAAACAGCGACTAATCGACAAATATTTGTGATAAAAAATTGATAATAAATTATTTTTATTAGTCTAAAGATTATTTCCTGTAATCGCAAACAGAATTGATAACAAGAATAACAGAATTGCGATAATCGTTGTTATAGTGAACACTAAATAACCCGTTGTTTGCGGAAATACAGATAACCGAGAGGTCAGGCGAGTCAACCGGTGGTGTGTGTTGTGGGCATTGGTTGTAATAATCACTTCCTATTGGCTGCCAGTTTAGTAAATAACATGAGATCAGTTGATGACAATCACAGACAACAACACTTCACTACTAATTGAAAAGCAGAGAAAACATATAAACATGTTATCTTTGGATAACACATTCATTTAAAAACTTGGCCTAACTTTTGGTTAATTTAGTCTATAATTTGTTCGTTCATTTCTATCCGCAAATCTAATCATAAAAATCAGATTTAAGTCTTAAATAAATGTTTCGATTCATTATAAAACAGTAAAATTATCGCAAAGGATTTGATTTGATAGTTCTTCATCGGGTAATCACGTGTAAAATACAACATTTAATTAAATGTAAAGCATACTTTATAAATCTTTCTAAACTTTTTAAAACTAATTTTTGTATAAATCTTATTTTTTAGTGCCAATAATTTTTTGCAAAAAATGATTAACAAAAGCCATAGAACTTAAAGACATTGTCAACAAATAAAAATCTCGATTCTTATCAAATCACTACTAAATAAATATAAATGCAATCAATTTTTTATACAGAAAACTATTCGTATAAACGACACAAACAATTACCAGTAAGACCCGGGACTGTCTACACTCGCATCACATCCGGACAAGTACTACAAACGCCTACCAAATAACAGCAATAAAACTCTAGTTTAATAATCGGATGTATTAATTGAGAAAAACCAATGTTTATTAAACAATGTCAAAATATCGTTACGTAAAACTGGATACTATTTTACTCATCTCTCGTATTACACAAATATTTTTCACCACATTTTTTAATGAGTTAATAAAATATGATACATTTATTATAATAATCAATAAAAAGCACTCATCAAATGGAAATGCATAGCGTTTTTATCGGTCATTAAAAAAGTGCTATTATTTTCAAGGATTTGATCCGATTATTGTAATCAATAGTAGAGTATATTAAACGTTAAACAATACTATTTATATTATGAAAATCAATACCGAGTCACTAAAAAGAGTGATTAGATTGTCATTAGTCTCAAAATCATCACTTCATTACACAAACAAATAGCACTCAAATTTCAATACTTTTATAGTATTTTTTTACACACATTTTAATACAGAATAGTATTTATTTGTTTAAAACGCAAATGAGTTTATCGTTATGTCTTAAGTGTATAACAATGAGCTGATAATTATCATTCAACACAATGCCTGTCGCCATATGAATATTCATGGTATGTGGGCTACACGTGATTATATCATGGTCACTGGTAAAGTGATCAAGGTGCGAACAATATATGAGGGAAGAGTAATTAATTGTTGGCAGAGAGAAATATTTTCAGATAATCAAATACTATTGCCCTTTAAATTCAATGCTCACCGCCAACTGATCCCCTCTAAGAACTCTCTAAACATTGTCGTATACTTTGCATACATTAATGAAAGCACATTTAAAACATAGACCGGTATTAAATGAACACAAATATAGGGACAATAGTGTGGACACCGAGTGGTAACTGTATTGTCGTACCTAATAGTGTGTTGGCATCGGTTCCGTTGAATGGCTGCCAATCGCACCAATTGTTTTGCGTAGTGTTGGTGAGGATCACGTCCGGCGGGATCACCATTTGGGAACAGTTACGGCTCAACACATTCTTCACGACACTCAGCGGTCGTCGCGAGAGATGGTATGCCGTATAGGAGAAGAACGTGAGGACCAGAACGAGGACCCGATAGTGGGACAGTTGGAGGCGTCGGTGGAGACCAAACACTCGGATACCGATCGGTAGACCGATAT